TTAGCGGGAATGGCTGATTCATTGTTCCATATAGAGTGTCGATAGTATCAACGACCTGTGCAAGGAGCTACCCCCAACACGGAAGAGTCTGTGGGCTCGCTACTTCCCCTATGGATTTTGGCATGAATGGAAGTGTCTGGCCGTGCTGGCATTCCCAACAGTAAGTCCTATACCACACGGTATGTGTAAAATAATGACTCCAGAGTATTCACGATATCGCAAATATGCAGTCCAGTCTTGACAACTGCAAAAGCACTCAAATATTGTCTCCATTCTTTTGCCTGCATACACACAGAGAAAATGTTTAATGCTGCATCTAGTACAAATTCATTCATCCACTCATTCCTAATTTGGCAACTGGATCCTACTGTTTACGACATTGTCATGGCAGGGGGATAGAGGAGTTGTTGTTGCTGCCTTATTTCCACTCCGAGCCCTTCCTCATCAGCCACGAAGTACACTAGTTGCAAGCATTACGGTCGTGGCCTTTGCACAAGTGTCAGATAAATTGCAGTCCAATTTGACGGTGGGTTAATGTTAAAAGAGGTACAAGTTAGTCAATGTGTGGGAAACCTCCGCCGGACAGCATTTGTGCTCACCTTTATAATGCAGGTATGCAAAGCACTGACCTGCGTTGGTCAAGGCTTTCACATTTTAAATGTTTTAGATGCTGACGAGCTTGAGTAACTACGCCGTGGTGCCTGTTAGTCTTTCCTTTCTTGGAAGACTAGGAAAGACGAAGCTGGCTGCCGGCGGTCTTGCCATTTCAATTTTTCACGTGGCAGGCGTCTCAGTCATAGTTGGGCTCCTCACAGCCAGTGAAACCCTCTTCTCACAGGTATATCACGCCAACAAGCTCTCAATCGGTTCTGGCTCCCTAGAAGGGAAGGTGGAGCGCGTGGGCGTGGCGTCTAAAATGGCTCTATGAGCAGAGCTCGACATACACGGAAGAGACATGCTATTCTCTACGCAAATAGGAACCATTTCTTTTTTTATTTTTGGAGGTGGCAATTGGAAGCGCTAATTTCCAGGCCTCTTGTTTAGATTGCGTGTGTCGCTCTGGCATTCATCTAGTTTTATTCGCCCCAAAGTCGATATCATTTGCATTTTTATACATCTTTTCGTTTGCTCCGTCGAAGAGTGAAGCAAATATTGCAATTGTAATAACTTATCTTGCGAATTTGTCACCTTGCCATTAACATCGAGTTCATGACTTGTGCATTGTAGACCTACGGCGGATCAAACAAGTTTTGCCTTGGCGTCCAAGTCCAAAGGGGTTTGTTGATCGTGTCAAATGCTGTAGTCATTGCCTGCACCTTTTCTTTAACAGATGGGGCATTCAATTGTGGTTAGAGCGCTCCAAGCGATTGGCGCGTGTGTAAGCAGTCTGATGGAATCGAGTCGACTAGTCTGACGCTCAAATACCTTTGGCACGAGGGCTCTCATAGCCGTATTTTAATGCATCACGACCTATCCTGTCTTTCGTTTGTGCCTTTTGCACATTGAGAATACATGCCTAATGGTGGGATAGTGTTGTGATTAGCTGTCACTTTTCATAGAGTACGCACGGTCGCAGAATAGGAAGATCAGACTGCAAAACAATGCTTCACTTCTGAATGATGTGAATTCTTCGTTAATTTCAGCATTTGTTATTCTGACACTTTGTTGCTTTCCGTGCTGGGCAATCTACGTCATCATGGAGCCCATTCTCCTGGCGACAAAACAACCGCCATTAGTAGCCAAGTAAGGTTGAGTTGACGTTGACGCCCACGTTAGGGGGGCTTCATAATTTACTAAACAAAGCTTTAAAATGTTGCGGGCAAATTGGAGCTGTCCTCGGCGAAAGCGCAGCTTTAAGATGCATTTATGAATGGTGTTAGCACCAAAGTGTACAAATTGATCGGAATGTCTGTAGGAATGAATACTTGTTGGTGCTTCCAGATGAACGAGATTCGTTGAGCTTGTGTTTAACCAAGGCTAGTTGGTGGACCACGCCCAGAGTACTGCTATTTAGTAAACTAGGTGATCATAAATTACGCCAAAACCCGTTTTTCTAATAGCTACACTGGAACCTACCTCCTGGGACTTATACCGCGGCTATTCGTGAGTCGCCTCTTCACCAATGAGTCATCGCAACTCCTTTTAGTTCCGAACCGTAAATGAAATCCTGACCAAATATATTCAAGCTCAGGTAAGTGGAAGGATTCACATCTTCCCTTGCAGTTTTCATTCGCTCTGCTCTGCACTTCTCACTTGCCTTCTAGAACAAGGTGTACCCGCCTCTCGTGGCGAGTGTAATCGGCAACCTCGTCAACGCAGGCGCCCACCACCTCTTCAACTTTCGCAGCGATTTTGGATTTGTGTAGGTTTGCACTGCGTAGTTGAGATTATTATTTGAAAATTAACAAGTGCACACACTGTTCGGCATATTTTTCGGCTTTGGGTGAAGCCTTATTCACTGAGATGCAAGCCCACGAATAATCGTAGCGTCCAAAAATGGCCGCTGTACTTTGTTCTGTCCGTAAATCAGAAATGCAGGCTGCACCGGCAAGAGAGTAGATCCAATCCGTTGCCATCATAACGCTCTTTATAGGTCTAAAGGAAGCTCTTTTTGGTATCTGGTGCCACAGAGTTTGTACAACATTCTAAGATCGCAAAGCTGCATCTGACTGTTCCAAGACGTGTGAAGGGTTGTGCAGTTTTGCACGGCTAGTGCATCATTTTTTCATCGATGCCTCAATTTTCTGCAACTCATTCATCGGGTGATGGTTTTTTTATATTCCTTTGAAAAGGGGGTCAGCGATCTCGCAATCATTGGGATGTATGGCACAAGCGTCAGTTATTGTTGTCTACATCTTGACCTCGCGCATTTATTGGACAACTTGGAATGGTGAGTTATCTAGTCGGCTGTCCCACTTTGGCATGCGGTGAAAGCATGCATTTGGAATGTGCCGTTTATGTCTTGTTTGAAGGCAATGTGTAGAGGTCTTTAGGATGTCTGGATGTCTAGGGCCATCACTGTCTCCCATTGCTAGGCAGAAATGAAGTTAGTAACTTGGGCGAGGGAAAATTAAATAAGATCGACAGTACCACAGGCACTCACGATCTGCAAAGTGTGTGCAACAGGCAAATTGTCTGACAGATGGCTCGGCAAAGCGTTAAGGTGAGCTATCGCATGGGTGTACGTGTGTCGACTGTGTTCCCGCTCAAGAAGGCCAATCTAGAAATTCGAGACTAGCGAA